CCAAGTTCCACAGACAACTCGGTGATCGCTTTTCCACAGGGTTACGAGGAGAGGATCGCCGGGTAGGTTTATGCTATGCGATGCTACTGGAGATGCTACTTGGAGATACTACTTGGAGGACTTCAATCTACTCTCTTCTACGTGCTGCGAGACGGAGGCTGCCAGAAGCGTAGTCTTCGATAGGACTAGCTATCCCCCTTTTATTCTGGCATTCTGCAGTTCAGTCCACTGATATGGCCTCCTTACACATATACCCATGGATATGTAGTGTAGCTCCTTGCTTGCGAGTACTTTGGATGAGTACTCACGGTTGCTTTCTCCCCCCTTTTCCCCCTTTCCTTTCTTTCTGGTTGTCGCAACCAGATGCTGGAGCCCTGGAGCCAGACGCCACTGCCGACGATGATTCCTACTACACTGGAGGTGCCTACTACTACGTGCAGCCCGCTGACGACGACCAGGAGTAGTTAGGAGGATCCCAGGCAGGAGGCCTGCGCCTCTTTTGATCTGTATCCCAGTTTGTGCTAGCCTTCTTAAGGCAAACTTGTTTAACTTATGTCTGTACTCAGATATGGTTGCTTCCGCTGACTCGTCTATGATCGAGCACTTGTATTCGAGCCCTCGAGGCCCCTGGCTTGTATTATGATGCTTGTATGACTTATTTTATTTGTAGAGTTGTGTTGTGATATCTTCCCGTGAGTCCCTGATCTTGATCGTACACATTTGCGTGCATGATTAGTGTACGATTAAATCGGGGGCGTCACATGGTGTTACTGGGAGAATCACAAAGTCCCAAGAAAGTACATTACCCTTATTAAGGATGTGTACGATAATGTTGTGACAAGTGTTCGAACAAGTGATGGCGACACTGATGACTTCCTGATTAGAATAGTACTACACCAAGGGTCAGCTCTGAGCTCTTATATTTTTTTCTTTAGTGATGGATGAGGTCACAAGGTATATACAAGGACATATCCCATGATGTATGCTCTTTGGGGATGATGTGGTGCTAGTCAATGATATTCGACCGGGGGTTAATAGAAAGTTAGAGCTATGTAGACAAACTTTAGAATCGAAAGGTTTCAAACTAAGTAGAAATAGAACTGGGTACATGAGGTGCGGTTTCAGTACTACTAGACACGCGGAGGAGGAGGTTATCTTTGAAAAGCAAGTGGTACCTCATAAGGACACCTTTCAATATTTGAAGTCAATGTTTGCAGAATGATGGTGATTTGACCCACAATGTTGTATGTTGCTGGGTGTTGACCGAGGCGACATGTCCAACACTGGAGATGTGCATGTTGAGATGGATGCGTTACTACACAAGAAAGGACCGGGTCCAAAATAATGATATACATGAGTGAGTTGGGGTAGCATCGATTGGAGAGAAGCTTGTCCAGCATCATATGAGATGGTTTGGGCATATACAACAGGCCTCCAGAAGCTCCAGTGTAGGGCGGATGGGTAAAACATGTTGATAATGTCAAGAGAGGCTGGGTGTAGACCAAACTTGATATATGAGGAGTCCGTAAAGAGAGACCTAAATGACTGAAATATCATCAAAGGCTAGCCATGGAGAGAGGTGAGTGAAAGCTAATTATCAATGTGCCAAAACCATGAATTTGTTTTGAAAGAGAGAAGTCCACTTTACAACCCTGAACTTACCACTCGGTTTAAGGTTCAACCCTCAACTTTAAAACCGGTCATTCTACACCCCGAACTAGCCATCCGGGCCAAGAATCAACCCTTCACCCGGTTTTGATTCCCTGGAGCGGTTTTGACTGCTTGACTGTTGACCGGGCACAACCACGTCAGATTTTTGACCCCTCTCTGTTTTGACATGTTTTTTTGCCATGCCCTCTCTCCCCCGCTGGCGGCAGCAACAACAACAGTGGCCACCATGCATGCTCGTGCACTGGTGAACAAGAGGAACCCCCATGCTTGCTCCGCCCCCGTGCATACCCCCATGCTTGCTCTTCTGGTATGTGCGTGCTCCTGTGTATCCTGTCATGTGTGCTCGTGTTGCCTTTCTTCCCAGCAAGCGACTGCGTGGGATGAGCAGTACAACGAGCAGTAGACGAATGAATCGGCAATAGGAAGTGGGAGTTGCACCTCCTGCATCCAGTTCACGCTCCCGATAAAAGACCGCCGGAAGCGATAGAGCAAAGCCAGCGCTCGCACAATGATGGCCCACTATTCATCACATGGCCGCACGAGAACAATGCCCGCACGACACCATGCCCGCTGCACTACCGAGGAAGGGGTGGATCAGCTCGTCGTCTCCATCCTCGACGACCCCAGCATCAATCGTGTCATGCACACGACTGGCTTCTCGATCTCCCAGGTCAGGGGGAGCGTCGAGGGTGTCGCCATCTTGTCGTATTTCACCAGGAGGGACCAGAAAGGCGCTAGGGTGCTGCCTGTTTGAGGTACGAGTGCTTTTGATCCGGACTTCCGCGGCAGAGGTGGCCGTCGGCTGCTCTGCGTCATCGACATGAAGGCGAGACGGCCTGGAGGAGCGCCAATCGACTTCTTTACACGCTGGTTGGAGTGTGATTTTGCAGTTTAGCCCTTGGACACTCTGTTAATTTGGCGCATGTGTGCCCCTGAGTGACATGGCTATGTTGATGGCGAAGTCAACTCGGTCAAAACCAGATGCGTCAGCGAAAACCGACTTTACTCACGCCCATGGTTGAATTATGAAGGGGTTGAAAGTTTAGGGTGTACAGTAACCGATTTTAAAGTTCGAGGTTGAATATTAAACCAAGTAGCAAGTTGAGGGTTAAAAAATGGACTTCTCTCGTTTTGAAATCTTGTGAGTTTCAGCTATAGCTTGCCTCAACTTATTTGAGATTGAAGATTTGTTGTTGTTGTTGTTGTTGTTGTATACCTGATATATATATAAAAGTACATATATGTAAGAAAAAAGAAGAAAAAACCAAAAGAAAACATGAAAGAAACAAATAAAAACAAAGAAGAAAAGAACAACAAAAACAAATAAAAAAATAAAAAACCTAAAAGCCAAAGAAATAGCAAAAATATAGTGTACCAAATAAAATCAATGAAAACCTTAAAGAAAAACATAGAAAGGAAAGAAAACAAGAAAGAAACAAAAGAAAACCCAAAGAAAAACAAGAAACAGATGGGACACAATGAAAACCAAAAAACTCAAAAAACACAAAAAAAATAAATAACATCTAAAAACCAGACAACCCGAACCATTATATACAACAGAAAACCACCAACCTACAGCTACGAAACGCAACTACCGAAAGGAATGAGCGAAAGTAATAAGCTACTCCCTCCGTTCTATAATAAAATCGTTTTTATATTTTGAGACAGAGGGAGTAATTCATACCCCTTCGCTCAAAAAAGTTTTTCTCTCAAATGGATGTATCTAACATCAAGTTAGTGCTAGATACATCCATTTAAGAAACACGTTTGAAACAAGCTTTATCAGACAGAGAGAGTATGTGCGAACACTGCAGGCGAGAGGAGCTATCGTCTTGCTATAAGAGCATCTCCAATAGGCGCCCAACGCGCCGCGCGGTAAAAACGGATTTGGCGCGCGCCCATCGCCTGGTTTGGCGCAGCGCGCAGCGTTTGCTCCAACAGCCGCGTGCGTGCAGCTCCAGCAGGCGCGGTAAAATGCAGCATGCGCTCATTCTACAATATTTTTTAAATTAAAATTACATAGATAAAAAACGATACAAAGATATTTTACATCGGTGCAACTACTACGGCATAGATAGATAGATAGATAGAAACTACTACAGCATACATAGATAGAAAACTACTCCAAGTCGCTATCATCACCATCATCACTCTCGTCGGTGTCGTCCGAGGTTGAGAGCCATATGTCGTCCCAACGTTCATCGTCCGAGGTGAAGAATGACCTCCCACCTGCGAAGACGATGTCGCACTGCTCATTCGCCACTGCCTTCCGCTGACGCCGGTCCACCCGCTCCGAGCGGCGCCTTGCCGTCCTCTCCGCCCAGTAGGCACGCTCGGCGTCGACGTCCTCTGGGTGGCGACGGCGCCACTCCGCCATGGCTCGCTCGTCCTCTTCGGCGACGAGGAGACGGCGCTGCCACCGAGAGTGGTCGGCACGGTCCATGTCCGTGATGAGACGCGGCGGAGGGGCGAGGCGCTGCGCCTCCTCGCGCGTGAAGACGTCCCAAAAATTCATCTGCGACCGGGGCCTCTCCAAGCGCCATGCCGCCGCGTCGTACGCGCGGGCCGCCTCGCGCGCGCTCCAGAACGTCCCGAGGCCGAGCCGGACGTCGCCGGACCGTATCTCGGCGGAGTACCAGCCGTTGGGCCGCTCGCGGACGCCGCGAAAGCCCGAAGCACCCCGACGACGCGGCGGCATGGTGGCGCGGTGGTGGCGCAGAAAGCGGCGAAGGGGCGAGGTTGCGAGGAGAAGGGCGCGTGGCTGTCCTATGCGCGTGACGAAGCGCGGGACTTTATAGGCGCGCGTGAAGCGGCGCGCCAAATCTACCGCGCCGCGTGCCGCTTTCTTCCGCGCGCGCAAACGCTTCTCGCGCGCGGTAACTTTCCGCCATCGATGGAGCGCACGGAACTAACCGGCGCGCGCGAAAAACTGCTTTTATCGCGCGGGCGCGTGTTTTGCCGCGCCTGTTGGAGATGCTCTAAGCGAGATATAGCTCCAGCGCTCTAGCCCTTAAAAAAAGGTCCAGCTCTCTGTAAGTACCATGTGTCGGGCCAGCAACGGGCCTTTTTTTTTTTTTGCCTTTTGAGAATCAGCAACGGGGGGCTTTGCGTGACGTCTGGAAGGTGTGTGACAAGGCCGGCCTACAACCTTGGTTAGCAATCCTTTGCCTATCTGAAATCAACTTCCGCCCAGCCCAGCCCTTTCCTTCGGTCAATTTGAAATCAACCCACGAGAGAGAAAGCTGGCAAGGGCCCAAATATACAAGCGTGCTTCTGGTCTCTTCCTTCGCTCTGCCGTCACCGTCGCCGCTTCTGCTCGCCGCCGACCTATGGATCCCACGGCGCCGCAGCGCGGCACCAAGCGCCCCCTGCCCGCGACCGCCGCCGGGGACGAAGACGATGACCGCTCCGCCCTCGGGTAAGTCAACCCAACCCCCTCCCTCCGGCCCGACCCCTATCCGTTTTCTCCCGTTCTCCCCGGTACCCCGCGTTAGGGTTTCGCGCTCCGGTTCGGCTGATGTTTTCCATCTTTTCTCCTGTCAAGGGACCGCAAGGTGCGGTTCCCCAAGGGGAAGAAGGCCAAGTACCGCGACCCTGCTGCCGCTGGCAGCAGCGGGGAGGGGGGCGCCGCCGCGGAGGACATCGACGAGCTGATGAACCCCGAGCTCGCGGCGGTGAAGCGAGCGCGACGGCGCCACCGCAGGGAAGGGGACGACGCGCAGGGCACCGCCAACGTCAAGGGCTTCGAAATGCGCTACAAGGTATGCAGTGCTATTCCTGCCCTTGAGTTTCTTCAGAGGGCTTGATTTCTTATGTGGATCGGATAGATAGGATTCTTATGCAAGTGATTGTAGTCTTGTAGTTTCTAGTTTCTATGAAGTTTCGTCGGAATTTACAAGCTGCCATATGGCTGCGACCAGATGATGTCTAGGCAGAATTGGAGCTAGTTGATGCTATACTGTGTTGTCGTGCTACTTTTAAATGCATTTTTCTCACATGGCTGCGACCAATTAAACTATTAAACTATGTCCATTATGGATATTATTTGGTAACATGCCAACTTGGTGAAATTACCCAGTAACTTCAAATGATCCTGTATTTTTTGTGAAGGTTCTGATGGAAAATTGCAGTCCTGAGGGCACTAAAGATAAAAATAGAGGAGGTGTTTGCGTTTATGTATGGCCACTGGTCTAGCAAAACATCCGGTGATCAAACACCAAACAGAAAAACTAGTGGCATAGACCAGGCCTCTACCAATTGGTTTAGTATCTATGGTTAGATTACATAAATTATTAGTTGGGCATTTGTTTGGTTCATGTTGAAGCCATGGGCCTATGTTAAAGGATTAGGGCATATCCATTGCATAGGCGCTTGTATAGATGTTTAAGGATTAAAAATTAAAAAACGCTTCCTAGCGTTTGCGTAAGAGCCTGACTTTCCAACGCTGAGATGTTATGGGGCGCTAAGTCTCTCACTTAAAATCAGCCCATGTCAACTAGAGCGCCTGCTGCCAGACTTGGCAGCGCTAGCTAGCAGGCGCCAGGAAAAATTCTCCCAATGAGTGAAACATCCGAGATTAGGATCCCTAGCGTCCGTCCTTAGCGTCGCGTTGTACGTGCCCTTAGTGTTTCTTACGATGCATATTGCTCACATCTTAGCACGTTCTATGCAGGGAAGGATGCAGTTTTTTTTACATTGTTTTGGTAAAAAATGAACTTGATTATTTTACTATGCTTTTCAACTTACGACTGAAATATTACATAGCTGCTCTTTCATATTGCTTGGCTGTTGTATAAAATCCTGTGATCATGGCTTTTACTTAGCCTTTTTCATATTTTGACTTCTAAGCATGATAATATATTTATACCTGCACTTTGCCCTGCTTATCATTGGTAGTATGATTATTAGGCATAAGTTTGAAGCTAACCACTTTGCTATCATTGTCAGATAACACAGACTTTGATGTTCAACAGGACGACGCCAACTTTATCGATGATGGTATTGAGATAGAACCTTTTAACTTGGAGCAAGAGAGGGAAGAAGGATACTTTGATGAAAATGGGAATTTTGTGGAGTTTGCAAGAGGCAACGATATGAAGGTATGGTCTATTTTATGTTTATCGTCTTGGATGTTGCGCATGGAGTTACAATCTATAATTTGGTGACGCAATCACCTGTTTTGTACAGGATGCCTGGTTGGATAATGTTGAAGTAGACACCAAATTTGCTGGAAAGGTTCAAAAGAAAAAAGACAAAGAAGAGGAGTTCCAGGACCTTTCTTCTGATGATATTGGAAAGATAAAAAGGAGAATAGCAAACATGCTTGAACCAGCAGAAACGGTATGTTCAATTGCAGCTTCTGTATAGCATTAACTTTAACATTGTGATAGTTACAAGAGGGGCACAAGGTTCCCTTGTTGTATTCTTGGCTTACCGGCAACATCACTAGAGAAATGATTTAGTGAATTAGTTTAACCGTAGTCTCAAGGTGCTTGGTGACATAAACCTGGCAGTGTGTTACTTTTTGCCCTTACATCCTTGCTGTATGGATAATCAATCGAATTGCACTGCATGTCTGTAACGCACAATGCTGTTTGTACTTATCATGTCTATTGGAGACTGAGGGAAGCATGCTCTTGATATGCTCGTGTGCTGCATTATCTTCTCTCAATGCTGAGGTTATAAACTTGATTTGTAACAAACGAATCCAGAAACTATTGCATTTTTTGCTTCACGGCATTTCTTGGAGCATATGCTTTTATTACAGATTGTATGCCAAATGTTCAGTAAAAAGTCTGATACAGTTATAACCTTAGAGTATGTGGTACACTTTTTTTTACCTGGATACAGCTTACAACCATGTCTGCTATGTCACATTGTTGTTGAATCTTTATAGACTTGTAGCAAAACATTGTATGAGTCAAAACCTATCATGAAACAAAGGAAACCATGTGAGACCTTTTTCTGTTAATAATGCACTCATGGGTTGAATGCATGTTAAATCTTTTCTTGAATGGTGTTCTGCCAGATAATTCAGGCTTTGAAACGATTGAAGAGTACATCTACTGACAATCGGGGAAGAATGACTGAGGGGACCAAGCACATATTTGATGAGCTGACAGAAGCTGCCATGAATCTAATGGAGAATGGGGAGTACAGTATGTGTTCCTTTTCTGTTTAACTTTTTTAGTTTGTTAGTTTTTAAACCATTCATTAATCATTTCGGTATGGCAATAACCTTCTCATGATCTGCATTCTTATATCGTTTTTTATTGTCCTGGTGTAGATGTATATTCAGATGATCGGGAGACATTTGTACGTGAGGCTGGTTAGTACCTCCCTTATTACTAACTTATCCATATCTTCTTTTTCTTATCACCATGTCTCAGTTTTGATACTACCACATGTTCCCATTCCCAACGTGAAAACAATATTGCATTAGTGTTACTAGTCAAAACTCAATAGGCGACAGTTAAAATGAACGCTATATGAAATGTGTGTGCTTAACGAATATGCTTAATATCAGCCATCACCAATCAGGTGCCAGTTTTGTGACATTGTTTCAGTAAAAGCTTGCAAGTCACATAGATATGCTACATTTTAGGTTATGTCTATTTCCAACAGAAACAGATCCATCTGTGTTACTGCAATTAATACATGAAATGAAGGGGCTGTTTGGAACTTTGGATTGGGCCCAATCTTGCCCTACCAAATAATTGGCATGACCAATTCCAGGGCATGACCAAAAAATTGGCAAGTCATGGCTGTTTGGATTGTAGCCATTAGCACTTGCCAATTTTTTGGCAAAACCATTGGATGTCATTTGGTTTGAAGCCAAATGTTTGGCACCTTTCACTGGCATGTGTTTGGTTTGGTTTCAAAATTTGAAAAATGCATGCCAGCCAATAAAAGAACACTTGTGTGTAAACAAGTAGTCACATATCACATGCTACAAAAAAAATTGAATTAACCAAAACACATACGCACACAAACTATGCATTTCCAGAACTTCAGAATGACATAACTAAACTCATACATTAAGTAGCTCATATATTGTTTGATACATGATAGACAAAATAAGGTTCACATACTTTACCATACCATCTAGGACATAACAGCCAGCCATGCACCAAATGCACTCCATACAAACAGTACATGATGCACCCAAGTTCGCTGTATATAGACAAAATATGCATGACGATGTTATCCATGCTCCCACTAGGTGTTAAAGCGTTCCTAGCGATATAAACAAAAGGTTGCCACAAACTCTATCTAATCATGTGGCAATTCAGTGAGCAGCCGCAGATCCATCATTGCCACCTTCATGAAACTGAGGCTCAAAGTAGCTAATGACCCACTCTCGAAGAATTGTTTCATCGGCATAGTTAAGATAGCTACGGAAGATATCTTGGTCTGGCTTGGATAGATAGGCAACAATCTCAAGTTTATCCTTAGCTGGGATGGTAAGGGCATTGATCTGCTTCCAAAGATTTGCATAAGGATCTGCAGGTTGCATTGGATGCAAGGGATTCAGCTAGCTTCTTGATACTGGTTACCATATCATCATTAGATACCTTGCCCTTCTTGTTTGCTTTGCCCTTGGTTGGCTTCTTGGAAGGTGATGATGACACACACTTGCGCTTCTTGTTTAATGGATTGCCATCCAAGTCGACTTTAGGACTGTGACGGTCAATAGTGTCAGAGTCAGCTTCATCACTGTCTACTGGAATTAGATTTCCCTCAAGTTCCCTCACATCCTCGCTGTCATCACTAGCATCATCCACATTGACAGTGGTTTGGTCAACTGCGAGTGAGCCATCAGCATGAGATTGATCCAAGAATAACTCTTCCAATTGATGAAAGAACCTAATGGGTCTGGTATGATAATTGACTGCAGTTTTCTGCACACAAGGTAAGGTAAAAAGAGTAAAATAATGATGTAATGAACACAAAACATGAGAGAAGTTGCAGGTATAAAAAAACACAACAAGAGACAGTGAATATGAAGCATACATATATATAGACAATAGCAGCTATCCACTCATTTTTAGATCAGACCATGATATAAATAAGAGAAAAAAATAATAAGAACTTACATTGAGTCTTTGCTTTTCTGACTCAGAAAGTGTGAATGTGAAAGTGGTTCTGTCAAGGCCATTGCCACTATTGGCCATGGCACGACGCACCCAGCCCCACTTCTCCTTGCATTGACGATAGTGTCGATCCACTTGGGTTTGAGTGACACCAAGCGAAAACTTGCCATTTAGAGCATCAGCACATTGCAAGTGGTGTTGTTTCTTGAACTTGAAAGTTGCAGGTTTGTCCTTACGAAGGTCGATATACCATTCAAGCATAAACCTTGTCGCCTCGTCAGTCCAGGTTATGTACTTATCACCAGGATTGGAGTCCTCCTCGGTCTTCAGAGTGAGCTTATGCTTCCCCATGACCTACAGATAGGTCACCATTGCAAACAACTACTCCCTCTGTCCCAGAATATATAAGAACGTTTTTGACACTATGCTAGTGTTAAAAACGTTCTTATATTTTGGGACGGAGGGAGTAGTTATTAAGAAAGTGAGTTGGAAGCAAAAACCCTCAAAAAAATGTCAGCATACGAACATGAAGCATCACAGATCTAACTTATAGCAGGACAGAACTGAACTTATTTAATAGGACAGAGAGACCAGATTAAATTGAAATAAGTCAAACAATATTACGAGGATACGATAATTTACACAAAGTCATTAAAATAGAACACTACATCGTTCAATTTGCCCTCGCATGGAAATACATCGAAGGTACAGTACATCTTTCAAATGTTCCCTCACATGGAAATACATCAAAGGTACAGTACATCCTTCAAATGTTCCCTCACATGGAAATACATCAAAGGTATAGTACATCCTTCAAATGTTCCATCACATGGAAATACATCAAAGATACTAAGGCCTCCTTTGGTTTGTAGGAATGTCATAGGATTTCTATAGGATAGGATTTGCATAGGAAAATTTCCTTTGAGGCCCTTTGGTTTGTAGGAATGGATTCCTATTCCTATATAGGATAGGAATCAATCCTTCACATTTTGGAGGAAAAAAACATTAGCTAAGACTCAATGGAAAAATTCCTATCCTATGCATCAAATGACATCTCTTTCTCTATAGGAATTGAGATGCATGTCATCTCACTTCCTATGATTTTCCTATTCCTACAACATTTCTATCCTATGAACCAAAGGAGGCCTAAGCTGGGATAGCATCAGCCTCATTGTCACGTGCACTCTCTCTATCTGTCCACATTTGCTGAGCGATTAAATCTCGCTTGGCAGCCCACTCACGTATGTCAGCCTCTTGATCACGAACCCGCCCACTACTCCTAGGGAGGTTGGCATACCATGTCGCCTCATCCACAACATAATCATCTGGACCATTTTCTAATATCCAATTGTGCAAAGCACAACAAGCAACTACCACTTTAATCTGAGATTTTATAGGTATGAAGGGCCTTTGAGTAAGAATCTTGAAGCGACTCTTAAGAGTCCCAAATGCCCGTTCAACTGTGGTCCTAAGTGATGAATGGCGGTGGTTGAACAATTCTTTTGGGGCAATTGGGTCACGGTCTCCAGCAAATTCATTTAGGTGGTAGCGCACACCACGATAAGGAGGTAATATCCCCGGCCTCGCAGCATACCCAGCATCAGCCAAGAAATATTTCCCTACAGTCATGTTGTATTAACAGTGAGTTAAAGTCAAGTTGGCACAACACAGTGACAAACATGTATGTTACGTTGTATATGTACCTTCGGGTATTTTTAATCCCCCTGGACGTGTGAGGGCATCTTTTAGCACAAGAGAATCATGGGCAGAGCCCTCCCAACCAGCTAGAACATATGTGAATCGAAGGTCGAAGTCAACAACTGCTAGCACATTTTGGGAGGGGTATGACTTGCGACCCCTAAACTTGTCGACCATGTGGGCAGGAACACAAGCCTTAACATGAGTGCCATCTAGTGCCCCTATGCATCCCTATGAATATGAGAAAGGGGAGTTCATGTCAAGCTTGGGTTAGGTCGATCTTGTATAATCAGTAATAAATCTACGGTCTAAGGGTTACCTCAAAATACGGGTAGAATCTGTCCGGGCTGCTAGTGATTTTTGTGTGTGTGTCCGTTGATCTAACGTAAATGAGATCACGAGCTAACTCCCCCATCGCACGAAGAACAATATTGAAATATCTGCTCACTGTTTCACTAGATCGCCAGAACCAAAATCCAATGGATGAATTTGTGTGATGCTGACCGATCATGTATAGGAACATTGCTACTTGTTCCTCTACTGAAACATGTAGTGTATCACTTAACAACTTTTTCTGCCTGAGCCTAATGCATAGCTTGTAAAACACAGCTCGAGACATCCGCAGTTGCTTGATACATATTGCATCGGATATGTCAATTAGCCTAACCAGGACATTAGTCCTGTAGATGTCTCTCTCAACTAGTGGACCATACTTTCTTCCTCCACTTCTAAATTTTCTATCATCTCTGTTTCTATACCAAAGAGCCAAGAGAAGAACAATGACATACAGAGTTCTCTGCCACAACATGGTGAGATAATAATATCTTTGCTGATCCAAGTCCATCTGAATCAATATAATAAGTACATTAATATGAATGATCTAAATCATATTTACATTGTACAAAATCAGAGCTGCTTATAACTAATAATACTGATGAGTAACTTATAAAAAGATCCACCTAAATCATTAACAAAAAATACAGATATGTGCTTGACTATTTGTGAATCAGAAATAAGAGACAGAGATAATAAGTCCCAATCAACAATTAATCATATATGTCCAGCCGGCTTCTAAGAAATTTATGGACAACAATGTTCTAAAAACAGAGGTCGTATGGACTCATAACTAGCTCTGTGTCAAATATCCTTCTCATGTCCTAATTTCTAGTGCCTTGGCTGCCTTTTCAAGACTTCACAGATGCTGCATATGGAGATCTAAGACTGGGAGCAGGGGCAAAGGGCATGGATTTGGTAGGCAAGTACTTAGATCTAGCAAGTATATACGTACGTGCAGCATATCACCAATTAAAAAGGTCAGATTGAAGCAAATCATGCCAAGAGAAAAGGGGATCGGGGTGGGATTGAAGGGGATTTGAGCTGCTGACCGTGGTTGGATTGAGAGATGAGAACGAGAGACGGAGCAACGCCGGCGGCGGCCGGAGAAGCTCGTACTGTCGCAGGAATCCGGCGGCCTTGGCGATAGCTGCAGATCTTGCCCTCCGCTCGCTCCTGTGTGTTTGCCTGGGATGAGAAGAGGAAAGTGAAGGAACCGACGAGGAAATTTCGCTGCCTACCTTCTATACTCGGTGTTCAGTTCGCGCGCGACTTGATGCTGCCAATTTTTTGGCGGCTGATTTCCGCGCCGCCGTTTCGCCCGCGATTTGGAAAAAATTGATGCGGGCGCGCTGGGGCGAGCCAAAATTGGTCGTGATCCAAGTGGAGGCCAAAAAGGTCGTGCGTGACCAATATTTTGGTAAGGCAACTATTGGTAGTCATCCAAACAGCCCCGAATACTTACCACCCATTTGAATCCATTCACCCGCTTGAATGAATAGAAGTACTTTAGATGGTTCGTGCTACTGCTATCACCTATTCTGGAGCTAGCACCATTGTCCATACAAAATGAGTGTTGACATAACTTAGTCAAGCTAACATGATGGCTCATTAAACAAACACACAATATATTTTCCCCATTCAAAAGATGACCCACCGGTAGATGAACTAAGAATCTACCCAGCTTACAAAAGGTGATGGTAGAAAATGATAAGAAGCAGATAGAGCCTGTTGGTCTAAATCCATGCGGATATTTGCTACTTTTATGAATAGTCTTGTAGCTGTAGAGCATTGTGCTTTTTTATGCTTATTGTAAATTATTCCTTAATATTGTCTCAATGGGGATCGCACCTGATTACATGTTTCCATCATTTTGCGTTTTGCAGAGGGTTATGAACGTCTAGCACGTGCCCGACTTGGCATACCAGAAGTTGAAGAAGATATATTTGCAGACGCCACAGAGAGTGGCCCGACTACCACGTCCTTACTGGAGATGGACAGTGGTCCTTCAGCTGCCAATACCTCTGCGACAACTGCTATAGCAAATGATGATGATAATAACTTTGACATGTTCGGTGAAAATGACGACACTGATGTCAATCCTGATTCTGATGCAAAAACTTTAGATTCAGGTTCCAATCCCGAGCCAGTACCACAAGATGCTTCTGGAACCTCAGGTGCTGAAAGTAAGCTTTTATCTCAGTGAATTTCATGCTCTCTCCTTTTATTTTTTGTCAAGAATCATGTCTGTACTTGTTAGCAACTCTTTTGGTTATTCTTGCAGAGGTTGGTAATGGAAGTGCAGACTCAGATTATGTCTACGATCCATCGTCAGGGTAGGTTATAGATCTTACTTTATAGTAATTTGCTGCAGTTACACTCTAATTATATAATTTAGTTTTTCGTTACAGCAAGAGATATGTAGTTAGCAGCTGACTGTTGTACTGTTGATCTCATCACTTGCGTTGATTATACTCCCTTATTGGTTTTCATGCAGTTACTATTACAGCAGCAGCACAGGCTATTACTATGATGCTGCATCTGGGTGTTATTGCGCTGCATCTACAGGAACCTGGTATTTCTTTTTGTGTTTTTCTTTCATTCACAATCAATTAATGTTTCTTTCTGTGTGTCTGACCACTTTTTTGTGGGTGCATCAACTTGCTTTCTAGTATGGTTCCCTTTTGGTTAGTATGCTTGTGGTAATTACAGTATGACCTGCTTAGAGGAATCGTATACCGTGGAATAATTATGATGTGGATGAAGTTATCATGTTCACGTGGGCGTTATCCAAACAGGGGAGTAGATCATGGTAGTTAGGATTGGATCCTTGAATCTTTGTAGCGAGTTTGTTATTTCTTAGTGTAGTTCTGGTTATCCGGGAATGATCCGAGGTTCATTGCAGTCATTTTCGGTTATAGAGGAATTGCTTATTGTTTTATTTCACAGTGATTTTTCATTGGGTTGCGTTGTAATGTTAATCTAATTGCATCATCATGATAAAGTGGATAAGCGTGATTCCAGGTTTACTGCCAGTTGCTCTCAATTGCTAGCCTGTTATTTTTTTTTACATGTAACATGTGTCCACTTATAACCATTGTAATAAAAGATGTACCCCATATATAATAAGGGTGTATCCCATATGAAAAGTAGCTTGATTGTAGGCAAGTAATCACTGACCACTGCTAGTGAAGCATCCATACCTAATTACCTCAAGCATCCCAGTATCCCTGAGCATTTCAGCTCGAGTTGTTTTTTGTTTCTAGTTTGATGCATGTCCAGTTGACCATAGAACTGCAGAATGTGTCCAACAAAGCTTTTGACACAAGAAATATCCAGAACGTAAGGGAAAACTAGCTTTGTCAGTTTGAACAGGACACACTGGTTTGTGGAAACGAGTACCAGATCCAAACCGTGCTGTTACCATAATCTCATGTAACTGAGTGATGGATATGCTGGCTCTGCAATTTTCCATTTATAGAACAAAGTTGCTTGTCGGCATCCATATCATATAACTGCAGTATTTTCGTAGTTGATATACCATATGACTGAGTCCTTGCCGCAGGTCTCTGAATGCTGGCAGTATCTGTGCTGATGTGCTATATGGTATTTGCAGGTACTGGTACGATGAACAATCAGGCACATACACAGAAATGCACGGCGAACAAACCGGCATGCACAAAGAAGTAGAGGGAGAGGGGGTCAAGGAGTAGACGAGGTGTAACAGTTTGCCCCCAAGATAGGTGGTTTCTACTCCCCAGTGTTTTGTTGATGCGGTGTAGCTTCAGTATGCAGTAGAGCTGTAGAGGCCCCCTGGATCTCAACTATCATGTTGACGAGGAAAAGAGCTGGTTACTGATGATTGTAGGATGTTAATTGAAGTTCATGCGATCATCCACGGAGCGTTTGCCCAGTTATGAGTTGTCGTTTTTCTCTAACCATTTGCCGACTGGCCCACCATGTTCATGCAGAAAGGAAACCTGTAACATGTGTTATGATACATCGCCCTTTGTGAAATTGGAACCTCACTGTAACTTGTTGGACCATATACGTAGAAGTAGGATGATAGTTGGTCCTGATTGAAGTTGCTTTGACAGAGAAGGTTTTGTAGCGCTGAATGTTGCGTACTTGGCATACCACGAGCACTTAATTTTCTCTTCGTTGCTCTATGCACCTGAGTTTCCCACATGGAAATTCCACTTTTTTTGTTAATACATAATCAGGACTAATGGCATGTATATATATATATATATATATATATATATATATATATATATATATATATGTGTGTGAAAAAGCATGTAGAATTGTGGCTGCTTAGGGAGATGCAGCTCGTGACCAAATCGAACGGAGATCCGATGGAACATTCCGAGAAGAGTCGGTTATTCGCAAGGCCAAGCGCTGGCCGTCGTAGTCGCCCAGTTTCATGACAGAATTTATCATTCGTGTGTGGTACTCCTTCATCTCATAATGTAAGATGTTTTAAAAAAATGTTGTACATTAATGAGACGGAGGGAGTAGAAACTAGTAAGCGCGAGTGTTTTCATGCGGCTTGCTAGCTCGATAATTTTACTACTAATACCTCGTAGGAATATACTCGCAAACGATACCGTATGCGCATTTTCAGCATTCGATATGCAGGATATAGGAGGATGTCAACTGTAATGCTTGGCATAAGACACGTATACCATCTGCACCAGATCCGGGTAAAACATCCATCTGTCAGATCGGTCAATAGATATTTGTGGTTACCTTTTTGCACCGGTGAGTCAAAGTCAAAACCCCATCTTGTGTTCACACGCAGCATGTACGTGCAGCTGCTACAGTCAGTTACTGCTAGCCGAAGAGGATGCATGCAAGTTGTGACAACCAAGGTTTTGGTTACCGGTCGAAATTTCAAGATTTCCCATGGTTACCGCGTATTTCCGTGTCCCTCGGTAAATCGCCATACCAAGCAAAAAATACCATTTTTTTTGAAATTTTTGAATTTAAACACCCAATTTATAGTAAAATACGTAGGATCTAATTAATACCATTAGAGTTGGTTCTGGCATGTTGATAGCAACCTAGTTCCTGTTTTGAGAAGTCTCTGGTTCGAATATTCATTCATTCCCTAATTTGAATTTAAAATTTAACTATAAAATTCGCTCGAAATATTCTCGGTATTTCTCGGTAACCGTGGTAACCACATTTACCAGTCCCCCTCGGTAAAATTGCCTCATTCGGTAACCAAAACCTTGGCGACAACTAGTACTCCTAGCCAGCTACAGGATCCAGCCTGCGTTCACACGATCGTAGTAGTACCCCTATATTTTTCTTTCATGGTAATACGTGTCATTTATATCGTAAGGGTCATAGTACAAGTCACGTAACGTACCGACCTGACAAAACTGAAAAGACAGCAGAACGCTAGCCTTTGCACACAGGAACACCAGCCAAGAAGTAAAATTATAAACAAGACTGAAGAATCCTCTGAGCTTGACACCAACGACCGTCACCTGTCTCTGGCACCACCATAGCAGCCACCAAAAGAGAAAATGACGGGTCACCTCCACACCCGAGCTCGACGCGGCTCCATTGCTGATATGCAGCTTTGCGGACCTCCAAGGTGGCTCGCCAATAAAGGCGAAACCATTGCCGTTGAAGGAATCAGACCGGGGCAACACCCCGGACACGTCATCGAACTCCAGATCTGGCACTCCCCAACTAAGACGTTGGAGGAGGAAACCATACCTGCCTGCCACGAACCACGAACCCAGATCCACCATCTTCCAGATGTCGTCGATGCAGACCACAATCTGCATCCGCTCCTGAACTACCTCCCAAGCTCCACGCCGGCGCTGGAGCAAACGTCATCGCAACAACGGAGCCCGAGGACACAGGTCCACCACGAGGATGCCGCCGCTGCCGCACCATCCTCGCTTGAACAGTCTGGTTTCCAAATCCACCCCAAAAGCAGATCGCTTTGTTGGGAAAGGATCTGAAGATTTATTAGTCGGCGCCGCCATCACCATAGCCGAAGCCATGACGATGAACAACCCAAAATCCTAAAAAACTAATACCTAAATCAATCCACACGCGCAGATCCGGCGGCTCCCCTCACCACCGAGACCGAGGTCGTCAGCAGAGGGGAGCCGCCGGAGGACGGCGGCGAAGGAAGGCGGCCCTGGCGGCACGAGGCGAGATCGCCTTTCTTTCTTCTCCTCGAAGAAAGAAAACGCTGCTAGCTGCTAGTAGTACCCCTATACGTGCAGCTGCTCTTAGCCACAGGAGGATCTACTCGAGTACCGTATCCAAACTGTCGCGTCTCATGGATGAACTGCACGTACGCCTTGATATCCAAAAGACCCTTCCATCGGTTCTCACACGTGCAAGTGCAAGTCAAGTCAAGGCTCGCCCGTGCAAGCTCCGAGACCAGTACTAGTATACGTCCGATCTGACACCTGCCCGACAAAACATATGGAGACGTATACATACACGTACGCACGCACGCACGCACGCATGAAATCAAGCGTGACCATGCACCAAAGACGACTACCGGACAGACAAATTGACGCATATGTTGGTCAGAGCGCGCGAGCAAGGCCGGTCTTGGTCGATGGGGCGAGCTCACATGAACCACGTCCGGATACGGAAACAGCCACGCCGCACGCGTGCGTGCGTGCGTACGTGCGCGCAAGCTAGCTAGCTCCATCTTCTTGCATTCGGTTGTACGTACGCGTGACCCGGATCGGCTCTGTTATACGTACCTAGCTCCACGAATCCGTTCCAAGCTCGCACCCGTGATGCCCGGATACGGTGCGCAGAAGAGTGTGCCATCTCCGTACCCCGATCCCCTCATACAATTCCAACACTCCAGACCAACGGATGATTTGACCACCGGCCGTGCATGATCGAGCAATGCCTAGCAAGCTGCGTATAAATACGGAGCTTGCATTCTTAGCATGCACCTTTATTATCCGAACCTATATACAGTTCCGATAGACGACCGACCAGAGCAACGGAGTGCAGCGGCGGTTGCTACTACTAAGACTACGACGATGTGCGCCACCGAGGAAGAGAACAAGCAGCACGGCCGTACGCTTGGGGCGGCGGCGAGCAAGGGCGGGCCGTCCGTCGAGGCGCTGGCCATGGCCGGCGCACGCCGCTGCATGCCGGCGGCGGCGTGCTGCTCCGAGCCCGACCACGTCGAGGACGACGACGCCGCCACGCCGCCGGAGCACCTGCGCGCCTTCGAGGCGTTCCTGGAGGAGGTCGTGCCGGTGGGCATGATCATGGCGTCGCGGCGGGAGGAGGAAGCGCGCCTCCGTCGTGGCGGGAAGCCGCGGAGCTACGACGACGACGTCAAGGAGAAGCTCAAGCTGTGGGCCAGGGCAGTGGCCAGGGAGACCACGGGAGGAAGGAGATGAGTTGTAGAGTGGCTACACGTACACGTGCGTGCAATGCATGCATGCGTGCAATTAGGACTCATGATCCAATTTGTTTCTTCGTGGAGCTAAAAATAGCTAAGCTAAGTTACGCCAAAAAGGAGAGCTAGCTAGGTTCTGTTCAATTCGTTCTGTTGATGACTTTGTAATTGTTATGTCTGTCTGCACATACACGGCCAGTGACATTCTATGGGAATTGTTAAAAGTATAGTACTCCAGTGTTCTTTGATCAAGAGGGTAAGAATTTGAGTACTCCTCTATAACACAACAATTCCTAGACACCACAAAGAAATATAGGACGTGCATGGTTTGTGGTCTGCATGAGCGTGGCTCGTTTAACCTCACGTAGTATTTTCCTTTTTCTCTTATACACTACGTAAAGAAATATAAAATTTTAGATCAATAAAAATCTTATATTTCTTTACACAGGGAGTATTTAGTATCGACCTAGGTCATCTCTACTATATATTTAGTATCGATCAATAAAATACTATCTTATATCTTCTACATAAAGTATACTACTGGATTTGTATTTGACAAAAGAGGTTTTCTAGGGTACATTTTTTGACTTGGTATCCAGTTTATATTTTATTATTTTTGCGAATGACATTTTACTAGTTAAAATATGGTCAATTTTTGATTTTTTTAATGAAATCCAATAAACCAGGACAAAGCAAGTACCTAAAACAATCAAAAGTTGGCCTCGGAGGAATGGTCTGTAGTTTCAGGGCTAGCTCTGCTTGACCGTAGGCAACACAAAGCACCGACATTTCTCCTTTACTAGGTTTTCATGTGAGCATTGAAACTCAGACGGGTGAAATTGTTGCAAGAAGCAGATCAGATGGCCGAGAGTTCGAGGACTTGAAGAAGCCGTCTTATTCGACATCTGTTAGGAAGAGAGATATGTGGGCTAGGCTACATCTTCCTCTCTTCACTTATGTAGATCGCAAGCAAATAACGATTCTTTTATGATGGCTTCGTCTTTTTTCTTAAGTTGTGATCTAAATTCATATATATAGTATAAAGGCTATAACTTCTAACGGAGCCAAGCGGAGGCCCGTCACGGAGAGGCTTGGGCCGTAGCGGAGCGGAGTCTGAAGTTAACCCATATTGGCCCGCCCTTTGCCAGGGACTCTTGGGGGTTGTGACACCCCCCTCCCCCGTGCGTGTGAGGTATGGATCACTATCGACCTAGGTTGCCTCTACTACATATATTCTTTGTAAGCCGCCGCATAGGATACATTGATCAGATGTAAATCCTTGGGATTTGTAACATCTCTCGATATAGTCAAGTTTCATTTGCTGGCACCCGTGATTTTTTCTCCTTCGTGTTGGAGGGGGTTTTCACGATAAATCTTGTGTCCCTCCACTACAAAAAACACTTTCTTGACTCGTGTTGGAGGGGGTTTTCATGCTAAATCTTGTGTCCCTCCACTACAAAAAAACACTTTGTTTATAATATGTGTTTGTTATAGTAGGTCATGTTTCCTGTCATGCATGTACATCTGTGATGACTTTATGACAGAATCAATATAGTCATACATGCGTTGTCGCGGAAGTGTTCCATAAAAACAATCCATTTTTCATCGCGGAAGTGTACACTTCCATGATTATAAATGGCACATCATGAAAGTGATTTCATCAAGGGTAACCGACATGGGGCAGCCATCGTAACGGGTCGCTATCAAGCTATCGGGTGTCGGTTTTGGATCTGATACCCGTTAACAACCCCGGCCAATGGCGATTTTCCGCGTATCAATTTCTCATTTGCCTACTAAACCACGTGTCTGCTTTACGTTGCGACAGATGTCGCACATCCAACGTACGATACATGCCACTGAAAAGGAGACACATGGCAGGGCCCAACAATGGTCCATTTACTTAAAAAGGCCAGCCCAATCAGAGGCCCACAAAATTTAGAGAAAAGTTAGTGAGCCGGCCCACTAACGGCCTCCTTGCGCATGGCCCATCGGCAGTTCTGGTCCATTAACAGTTCGCCATATATACGGGCCAAACTACGGCCTTGTGTGTTTTTGGCCTCTTAACGGCCCGTTCCAGAGTTGGGCCAATTCCAGCCCGGTGCATCTTTCGGTGTGTTAATGACCGACGGTAACTTGGGCTATTTGTGGCCTGACGTAACATTCAGCCTCAGGTGATTTGGATGCTTGTTTATTTGGTTCTGTGCAAAAACAGAAACTTTTGCGTCTAGTATTTGAATTTTCATTCTGTACTGGAACATGATCAATTGCTGAAATTTTTACACAGTAGTGCTATACAAATTGTCGACGTTTACTTAATTTTTCAGAATTGTTGGATTAGGTAAGTATGACCAAAAATTAGATCTTTACGTACGGGCCTGTTTTTGTCAGATTCTGTTTTGTTTTCTTTGTTTGTTTGTTTTAAAGTTTCTATGACTTATATTGGGGGATATAAATTGCGGAAATGATATAATACAATAAACATAAATTGGCAATAATTATGAATCTTGTCTTGACAGTACCTAAGTAATTGATTTATTTTATTATACTAACCTATCTCACGAGCTTACATTAAGTTCCGAAGATATGCGAAGAACAAGATATGCGAAGAACAAGGAGCGGCAAGAGTCTAAGCATGGGGATGCTCAAGACACCCCCCAAAAAATTCAAGGAAGACTTAAGCATCTAAGCTTTCGGGGCATCCCCTCTTTGTCTTCAAAACTATCGTATATCATATTTTTATTCTTCACATGATATGTGCTTTGCTTGGAGTGTATTTGTTTTTATTTTTGTTTTGCTTGTTTATCTTTGTAATCATCTTTTCCTGATCACACCTATAAAGAGAGACACACATTCATCTTAAATTTGTAGAATGCTCATTCGTGCTTCACTTATATCTATTTTAGTTGAGGCAATTGCTCTAGTACTTCATTTATATTTGTTTGAGCATGGCGACATGTTTTGTATAAATTATTTACACTCTTTTGCTTCACTTAAATACTTTGAGTGTTAAATAGAAAGTGGTAATTTGCATGACTTATATGTTTGGTCCAAAAATGATAGGTATATGCTCATCTGTACTTCACTTATATCTATTTGAGTTGAGGCAATTCTCTAGTACTGTACTTATATTTGTTTGAGAATGGTGATATGTTTTGTAGAAATTATTTGCACTCTCTTGCTTCACTTAAATATTTTTGAGACTTAAATAGGAAGTGGTAATTTGCATGAGTTATATGTTTGGTCCAGAAATGATAGGTATTTGCTCATCCGTACTTCACTTATATCTATTTAAGTTGAGGCAATTGCTCTAATACTTCACTTATATTTGTTTGAGCATGGCGATATGTTTTGTAGAAATTATTTGCACTCTCTTGCTTCACTTCAATATTTTTGAGAGTTAGATAGGAAGTGATAATTTGCATGAGTTATATGGTTGGTCAAAAAATGATTGGTACATAAAGGTGGTATAATAAAAACTAGCATGGACATGTAGATCATTGAATATGATAAGTTTTATTCCTTGCAATAGTTTTGTGATACTGAGGTAATAATATGTGAGTGTGTTAGTAAATAATTAGAGCTAAGCATGAATATTGGTGTTAAAGTTTGTGAGTCCTTATGCATGAAAGTGGTGGCCGCTAGCATTAGCGAGGAAGTCGGAGTGTGATTTCTCTTTTATTGAAGAAACTTTTGTGTGATCAGATCGGGGGCGCGCGATGGTTAATGATACGTCTCCAGCGTATTTATAATATTTGATTGTTCATGCTATTATATCATCAATCTTGTATGCTTTATATGCAATTTTAGATCATTTTGGGGAACTAACCTATCAACTCAATGCCCAGTGCCAGTTCCAGATGATGAAGCAAAGAGGGTCTCTACAGTCCTTTCTACAATGGAACTTGCTAAGGCACCTGAAGCACTTCCCCTCGAAGCTTAAGAAGGCAGCCGTCGCCCTGGTCCAAGTGAGGTGCCCACCACCACTCCCTATTATCTGCCAGGTCCGAGCCAGAGCGCTTACTTCACCGGGATGAGACCTCTATCCATCCACCATCCACCTGCAAAGGGGAATGGGTGATGCCTGAATCCCGTACCAACACTATCGATTTAATTCATTGCCTATCCAGAAGGGGTTGCGAGCCCAGATCCGTGGCACCAAGCACTACAAAAAAGACATATCCATGTCATTTTGGGCCGAACAGATTTTTTCTGTCATGCTTATGACACTTCTATGACGATAATTGTGACAAAACCCGATATCATCATAGATGTGATGGGCTCCTACTTCTATGACAAAAAATCATGACAGAAAATAGGCTTTTCGTCCTGGGCAGGCCGGAGACGCAACTGCATGACATTCTTTGGGCCGTCCATGATGAAAAAAAACCGTGGTAGAAGCGAGGGCGAGGAAAATATCGGGGATTTCTCGGTTAAGGTGGGTGGTTGGCGCCGAGCGATGCACGGAGGGATTGTGTGTTTCTCTTATACATGTACGCGCGTGGGTGCGAGGCGTTGGCTCTAACTGAATCCGAGCGAGGTGTTCGCCTACTAAACCCGAGCAATTGCACTGGCTACACGTTACTGAACCCGAGCGATCGATCGATCCCTGGCTGTTAACTGAACCCGATCGAGCAATTTCTTCGCTACTGCTGCTAACTAAAGCCGATCGAACCTGCTGCCTCTTGATGAACAGTGAGCGTTGTTGGGGGTTGGATGAACATTTCCCGATGGGGGTTGGATGAACAGGACCCCGTGGTAGTAGAGGTCATTGCCGCTGGATGAACAGGACCCCGATCGAGCCGGTTGGGGGTGGATGAACAGGACCCCATGAAGGGGTGGTTGAACAGTAGTCGGTGGAGGGCTGGATGAACAGTAGCCCGTGGAGGGGTGGTTGAACAGTAGCCAGTGGAGGCTGGATGAACAGTAGCTGGTGGAGGCAGGAGGGAGACGTCGTGGATGAACAGTCGCAGGTGGAGGCTGGAGGAGGTCGACGGTGAATGA